TGAAATGCATTAAGTGATTTTAAAAGGATCAACTCTGTACAGGCAAGCAGACGAGCCCTGAACGCATTGCGTTAAATTGCACGTTAAACATTTTCCTCCCATAGAAAATCAGTATAAACAATACACGTAATGTAGCTTAATGGACAAAGACAATTATATAAAAGAGCTGTAGACAGTTTATTCTATATGGAAAAACGCTTAACGCGAAACTGTGCGTGTTGCATTTATTCTGTGCTCACCTGCTCGCCTGTATATTAGTTATGTATATTAGGCTAATAATGTAGAGGAGCATACTGAGTTTGGCCTTTTTAATCCATTATGCCACATTATGCCACGTACGTTTTGCGGTATGGGAGGCAAATACTATATACATATTCATTATATTCATAAATTGTATATTTCATTTGATATTTTAATAGCATCTTAATACATTAAGCCATGTTAAGTGTTTATGTTTTTCTACAGGAGGAAAACGCTTAACGAGAGACTTTGTGCATTGCGTTCATATTCTGCTGTTCTGTGGCGACGGATTTGCGGGTCTTGTCTTTTTCTTGCAGGACCCTGTACGTTATAGTATAAAATTAGTTTTAATCGTTTAATCACCACAGTGTCTTGTCTCCATTGGCAACACGCACGATTTGTGTCGATTGCAAGTGACGTCGCAGGTATCGGAGAGTGCAAGTGGCGATTGCAAGTGACTTCGTAATTTAGTTTCTTTTTTCTTGTCTTCACCACCTGGCTACTGTTGTAAAATGTTGAGAGATTCAAACAAAAAGTAATAAAAAATAGAACAAAATAAAAAATAAAGCCTGCAAGTGACGTCGCTAGCGGAAGCGCAAGTGTCTGAGAATGCAAGTCTGAGAGTGCAAGTCTGAGAGTGCAAGTGCGAGGCTGTGGGAACACTTTTTTTTAATAAGAAACCATAATTTTAGAACCCTTTGTCATACATTCGGATAATTTAAAATAATAGGAATACTTTCATTAGGATAGGATAGATACTTTCATTGTATTTCTGCGTCATTTTCCCTTATCTTGAGGATGACATAAGTAAAAAATGGCGAAACTTACCCCACTCTCCCCTATAACAATTAGACATTTAATTTAATATTTTACAGCATAAGTCTATATTATATGCTAATAAACAACTAATTTAGAACATTTATATTATTTTAAAACTATTTATAGGCCTACTATTAATATGGTTTTAATAAAATATTATAAATATGATGTGTTATAGATTACTAATACCAAGACAAGTGATTATAATGGGAAATACACTTAATTACAAGAATTAAAATGTGAAAAACTGCTAAATATTCTATGATTTACCTGCTGGCTTGCTGGAGCTTTGAATTAATGTTTGCAATGTTGAACTGCCTTTAGCAGCCTCCCTTCGCTCTTTCTCTGTCTTTTTTTGGAAAGGCACTGTTTTTTTGTTTTGTGTTTTTTTTTTTTTTTTTTTTTTTTTTTTTTTTAGTATATTGGGTCCAATAATTTGATTAGACATTCTAATTCTACGAACACGGATATTTTGTTGTTAGCACTTTTAGAAGACCGGGAGCAAATCATTACCGACAGAAATACAAAAACAAACTACCAAATTACTAATTCAGCGAATCATCCACTGACTGTAATGTGGATTTTAATGCATCTACCTGTTAATGCAACGACCTTTGGGGACTGTGGTCTCCACTCTCCAGAGAGCGGCACACAGATTGTGAGTGATGCTGCGGAGCGGCGGGAAAACATGGAGCGGATTAGCGGAATCAGCGGATCTTTAGCGGATCGTTAACAGAGCGCTTTGAGCTGGAGTGAGAGGTGAGAGGCACCTATATAGCCATCACACTAGTCAAACGAACCGGGCTTTGGGGGTCAAACGCGCTCGGGCACGGTTAAGATTGCCTAGTTTGAGTACACCCTTATTCTCCCGCATCCCGCACACACGAGTCTCT